GGGGGGGGGGTACTCATGTTTTGCATACTTTAGATGTCAGACACCATTGACCACGCGACCCTTCGAGAGGACGGAGCGCTGTGCCAACAGGACCGACCACCGATAGCCAATCGTTCCTTCCTACTCTGCCAAAGGTGGGGAGGAGGTTCTCAAATGCCGCTTGTCTCAAGTCGTGTGGGCTTAGACATGGTACCCCTGTCGAGCCGGGGGGGGGGGGGGGGNGGGGGGGGGGGGGGGGGGGGGGGGGGGGGGGGGGGGGGAGCGAGCAGCACTGGTCGTTGTAACTACTCAATGCTGAGGAGGGGTCCATCAATAGCAAGGGCGCTTGAGACGATTTCTTTTCGCCACCTTGAAAAACCGCTGGAAATTACTTTCATGACTCGTCTTGTCCCTGCCATTGGCTCTGGCCGGCGTTCTGTGGCTAAATGCATCCGATTTCCGCAGAATCGTCCAAGGAGCTTCTCTTTATCTCTCGAGTGGCCTACCGTCACGTCACGTGCTAGGTAGGTGGGTGTTCTTGTCGGCGGAGCACAAACAAAAAACACCACAAGCGGACAAATGAAAGAGAGACTCAAGAACAGACACAAAACGCACAACACAACGAAAAGTACAGGGAGAGAAAGTAGACAGGACAGGACGAAAAGGAGGACAAAAACAACAACAAACGCTCCACCTCCTTGCGTGCTCTCTTATCAATCAAACGATCTGCGGCATATGGTACCTTTGACAGCGATCCTTACACCCCTCGCGACTGGAATCAACATCTCAGGGGCAAAGGGCTACCATTCATCGCCCCTGGTTGTGTCCTTTACTGGCGGTGTCCTCCATCTACGGGTACATAATATTTTGTCGTACTACAACACAGTATCGACATTAATGGCATGTACCTTTTCTCGGCCTTGCCCTCTCGCATCTTGTTGGTGGCGACCCGGACCTCCTTCATGTCCGCGAGCGAGCCCTTGAACCACTTGGGCTCCGTCAACACGGACAACACGGCGGCTCCAACGGAAGCGTACAGATACCCCTGCTCACCAGCCTGTACGACATTTTCATACATCATTGACGGGTGTGCTCTTGGTTGGTATACTTGTGTTTTGATTAAACAAAAAGTGAACAAGTAATAGCCTCGTCATCATTGATGTACATCAAACGGCGGGATTTCTGGAGGAAAACGGGAAACACCCGGTAGGTGCATGTCGGGGTGGGGGTCCTTGATACGACTAACTCTGATCATTTCTGGTGCGAGATACGTGGGACTGGGATGTGTATCGCTCTTTGCCACAAGCCGTCTGACAACGAGAAACGAAGTCGCGCAGAAGAAACAGCAGCACCCTCGTTCCTGCCTTAGAAAGTACCATAAATAACAAAGCGCGACGGTTGGTTTGTGGCGCGGCTGCTTTGGAGGGTCGGTCCCCCCCCGCAAGCTTTGGTGATACAGTGGCACTCCGGACGGATACACAATAACTTGCTCACCCTTAGGCCCACCGCGATGTCGCCCTTGGAAGGACTCGCGCGCTTAAATTCTGCGGCGATCGCCATCTCCGGCTCTTCCTGTTGGCGATATTTCGCAATGCAAATGGTAAGAAGGAGAGCCGGGGCGGGGGCGGGAGCGGGGGGGGG